CCCCCCCCCCCCCCCCCCGCGAAAAGCAAAACCGAACCACCCCCGCGAACCCTGAACCCCTTGGTCGCGACCTACGTTGCGGTCGGCTCGTCCGGGTTGAGCGCCTTATGCTGGGCGTGGCAGCCGTTGCATAGATGCTTTTCATGCGGACGGCGATGACCTGGACGGTTTCGTCGTCGGCAACTGCGAACCCAGCAGCTCGGGCACCTCACCGCGCACTCGGTGTTGAGGTCGTGGTAGTCGGGCGGGGAGTCCGCGAACCATCTGCCGCCCTCGTCGTACTGCGGCCATTGGCTGTAGCAAAGAGGTGGCGCGAACTGCGGGGGGTCTTGTGGCCCCGGAGGTCCAGGCTCGTCTGCGTCGTCCGTGGGTGCCGCCCATCTCCTGTTGTAGTGGCCACGGCTGCGACCTGTGCAGGCATGGCCTTGACCGTGGGCTCCTTCGCGGTGGCAAGCGGACCCTGCGTTGAGGTAGGCGGCGAACTCGGGGCCATCAGCAAGGCGATGGCATCCTCCCCAGACATCGGTCCCTGCTGTTCCGTCTGCGACTCGGGCACCGCGGGCTGTGCTGGCTGCGTCTCGGGGACCTTAGGCGGACACTTGACCGGAGTCGTCTTCTTCGCTGGTGTAGTCGTAGTCGACGGGGGCGGCGGACCATGCGAACCAGGATCGGCAGGGAGCGGCTTGACGGGAACTGGCTTGGCCGCCATAGCCTTCGTAGCTGCTGCTGTCCCAGGCGAAGTGTCCTTCGCGAACGTAGGGCCTGGGGGCGGTCCTCGGCTAGCCTTCTTCGACAGCGGCCCTGCGACCGTTCCAGGTTGCGAAGCGACCGTGGTCGATCCACTCGCCGTAGTTGCGACCTCCGCGGTGGCGACCTGGCCATCGTCCGCACTGCCTTTGGCGACCACTTTGGGCACGGCTTTGGAGGGGTTGTCCGCGTGGGAGCTGGAGGCCATCTCTCGTTCTGCCGCTTGCAACCGAGAGGACGCGACCAACGCAGCTTGTGCTGCTTGCCGTATCTTCTCCAGGTCCGAGTCTTGGAGGCGAACCATGAGGAACTCGATGTCCTCCATCTCGGCTTCTGCCACCGCCACCAACGCGGACCAGAGATCCTGCTGCGAACGGTCGCCGGCCCCCCAAGACATGGCTGCGAGCGAATCTAAACAAAAAAGCTGACACACTCGGGCCTCGGAGCTCGGCTTCGGAGGATGCTTCTCTGCGAACAAGCGAAACTGGAGAAACTGACTTAAAAGCAACCGGAACTGTACTCTCTCAGGAACTTCGCCATGCTTGTCACTCTTTGCACACGTGCAAAACACCACAAAAAAACTCCCATCCAACCGCAGACAACAAAAGATCATGTGGTCGGTCTGCGGTTATGACTTTGTATGCCTTGCCAGAGGCGTCATTCTTCGCCTGTGCAAGACTCAGACGTCTGTTGCCCGTCAGCACCGACTGCTTTCAGCCTAGACCTACTTTTTGCTGGATCTACTGCACAATACTGCACATGTCCCTTACAGATTCGAACTTCCGTCTTCGATTTTTTGGCAATTTGGCAAAAGTTGTGTGTTGGAAGGAGCTAAATGCATCACTATGGAGCGGAGGTTGGGCAGAGGCAAGGTCATCAATCTTGTTCGTCCACCAGGATTCCGCCCAACAGGCCTTTGGTCTTCCCGCTCTGTTTGGATCGCTTAGATGTCTGTAGGCGTGAGAGCTCATAAACGTCGCCTTATGTTCCAGATATTCGGGGTGTCGATACAAGTGTCCCTGGTGGTCGTGATGGTCGTCGAAGCGTTCGTGGTCGTCCTGGTATCTTCCTTCGGGAGAACACGGTTGGGGCCTTGTGCAATCTTCCTAGGGAAACGCTTTGTGTGTCCCAGCTAGGCGGAGGCGCAGAGGTGCACGTGACATACGCAAACAACACCAAAAAACTAAAATGCAAAAATAGTAGTAGTAGTAGTAGTAGCAGTAGCAGCAGCAGCAGCAGCAGCAGTAGTAGTAGTAGCAGCATCATAGTATCGAGTTTTTCGCTTCGTGTTGTTCGCGTTGTTCTCATTTTTCGCGTGCTGCGTGTTATTCGTGCTGTTTTCGACGTTTGCTGCTTTTCAACTTCTTGCACGCTGCGCGCCGACTCCGGTTCTGCACGACGCACAAAAGGCTCGTTTAGCGATCCTGGTGAGGTAACGATGCATGGATTTAAACTCACACCACCGCAGCGTGCCTTTCTGTAACTGTACTGTTTGAACCATTTACTCAGTGTAGTTCCCGACATACACAGGTACACCCCTACCCTTGGGAATTACCCGACCCCCACCCCAAAAGTGACTACACCCATTCTGTATCTGTCAGAAGGGAATCGTTCAACATGCTTCACCGCTGGGCAACTCCAAAATTGATGACCCAATTCATCTTCAATCTAAAACTACACCATGACAAACTCGTCAGCCCAAGCCGAATCGGCATCAGTTGAGCCGGTAGGGCATATTAGAGGTTGTATTTGCCGAGCTTGCTTCTGGCTCACGCAAAGCATTTCAAGTTAGTAGTGCCTGCCTGCGTCCGTATCATGACGACTCCCCGTGACAATGTATGACTGACCGCGATTCCATGAGTGCTGCTTGATTCAAGCTTCATACAGCTTGCCTCGAACCCGCTCTCGACAACACGAGCAGTTGCAAGACTTGTCCATGATGTCGGACGAAGTTTAGCTCCTTCTGGGAGTCCTACTCTGAACCAGTCCCCTTGTGCAGGATCGTGCAACCCAGTGTTTGTTAGAATTGGATGCACAAGTTGACCAGCTGACAGCCATCATCTTGCGAGAAAAAATGAGATTGCATTTGCTGCAACTGGTCACTGTTCAAGCAAAAACTTGCCAAAGCAGGATGGTGCTGATTCTGGTGCAGTGGAGTGGAGCCAATTTTTAATGTACAGATGGTGAAGCTTGCAAATAAATGCCGTCAACAAATTGCCGTCGTCTGAACTGTTGCAGGTTGCGAGCATGGCATGGCGCTCTTTAAAGCTTCGGACAGCCTTCCCGGCAGGTTCCTTTCCACACTCGTTGGCATCCTGCACGATGGCCCTGTGCCTGCCATCGACAGTCCACATCTGAGAGCAGAGGCGTTCCCGCGCACCGGATGCAACGCTTAACGTGCTTCACAGGCCGCGGCCTAAACGAGACTCCTCCGCCACAGGAGGCAGAGCACATGCCCCAATTAGACCACGCACCAAACTCGCCGTCCTAAGCTCAGAGAGAACTCGAATGTCAAGTGGATGAAAAGGTATGCATCCAATGCACAATGCAGTTGTCTTCGTGACATTTCTGCATGTTGCAGGGCTCAATCTCCTCTTTGTCCTGGCACGACGGCGCCCAAAGCCAAACACGAGAAGAAAATGTGCGCTGGGGCGGTTGGAAAGGCCGAGATGAAAGTCATTTTCGGTAACGTGTCCATTGCGTGCTTCAGTGACACTTGTCTCCTTGGCTTGGCAAGGTTCGCCACCATGACTGGGCATTCGGCGAACAGATCGGTCTCGTGTCCTGCCGTTACATGCTACATCCGCACATCGAAGCTATCGGGAAGAGCAGAGGGCACCTCTGGCCACCCCCACAGGTGCAGGTGCAGTCACTCCAATCCTCAGTCTCTCTCTTCGTCGCTCTCTCCGCGGCCGACGAGCCGAACGACACAGTCTGCTCTTCGTTGCCCTTCTACGAGTTAACTGAGGCTGCACACCGACCAGTCATGCCACTCGCAGTCATACTTCTCGCAGGGTAGGTTGTCAGCCTCAGGTCCCATGTTCTCGCTTCTTGCCAGTGAACCAACCCAAAAACATGATCCAGGCGGCACAAGGTCTTGTCTGTGCCAGGTCGGCAGTGATGCCTTCTCCGCCCTCACCACGAAGGGCTAGAACCTGCCTCTTGCGCGCCTGCGGAGAGCAAGTCTCAAGGCAGCCTCTGCATGTCAGCTTCACCCACCTGGTTCGCAGGACCACACGTCGTGGAGCACTGGCTCCAATCCGTCCAGTCACTGATCTCGGCATCCTTCGGAGGATTCGAGGGCTAGAGAATCGGCGCTCCAAATCTCCAAGGCTTTCCGAGCCTTGGAGTCACAGGCCTGCAACGTACAGCCTGCAACACGGCCCGGCTCTCTCTCTCTTCCTCTCCCCCTTCGGCTCCGACCACGAGTTTGAAGTAGTTCTTGTGGACAGGTCGCACCATTGTTCTTTGGAAATCTCTCGACCTGCCATGGCCGGAAACCCAGGCATTTGTGTTGGACTCCGTGCACCGCTCCTGACGCTGTCTTTGCGATTGGCCACCTCCGCAGGTCCGGTCCTGAAGCAACGGCAGAACGCCCTAGCGGGCCATCGTCGTGTAGACGATAAGCATGTGACACATACGGACCAGGAAGTCCATGATGACATTTGGCAGTCAACCTGAGAAGGAAATGCAAACTTGCCTGCACAGCTGCAGCTTGCAAACACAGCCCACACGAAGCTGGAAGCTTAGTCCAGGACTTTCTCTTCGTGCCCCGTTTCCGTTTCATGCAGCGGCCTTCGCAGTTGGCTGCTGCAAGGGCTATTGCAAGTTGACAAGTCTGCTCTGTTCGCAGGCAGACTGAGTTTCAAGACCCGTCGCAAGGAGTTCCACCACCGGAGGCAGGAACTGCCACCTAGTGATTGCTAGAGTCCGCTAGATGAAGATGACCCAAAGTGCAGCGAACCGCGGCGAAGGCCTTTCTGGTTCGAAACCTCTGGTTGTCCCCGTCAAGACCGGACCTGGCAGGCATTGCACTTCCGCGTACCTACGTCGTGACATGTTCTGCTGTTTTTCGCTGAGGATGGCTGACCACTCCGTCCAGGATTCGAACTCGCAGTCATGACCTCGAAAACAGGACAACGACTGTGTACGAGTTTGAGCACCTGCTTCGGAACAAGAATGCCGGCAGGTCGACTGACAACGACTTAACAGGATCTGCAGTCTGACGAGGCAAGCCGGCCAAGCCCCAAGAGTCTGCCAAGCTGCTCGAGCCGCAGGCCTATCGCGCTGGGGGACGTTGCAGAAGCTTCGAGGAACTTCACACACTGCAAGCATTTGCAAGCCTTGTCGGGCTTCGTCATATCAAGCGGGTCAGTGCCACAACCTCCAATCTCCTGAGGCTCTGGGATCTGGCTTGCTCTCACTGCAATCGGACGAACCGAATGCGGAATCAAGGAAAGCCACTCAATACAACGACATAGGCCAGCGTTGCTTTGCTATTCGGCATGTGAAATCCAACCAGCTTCGCAGCAGTGCACCGCCAGTTGCACCCGCGAAGGTTCGCCAGTAAGAGGTACACGAAAACCAATGGTCTCAACTTACTCATTCGAGCTTGTCGATGAAAGCCTCGGCATTACTGGAAACTTTGAATGAGTCTCGAGCTCCAAGCAACCCAAAAAAAACATGCAGCCGCCGCAAGAATCATTCGCTTCTTTGCGGCCATGCGGAGGAGTCTTTCCGGTTGCTTTGTGCAGCTTTGGATACCAAACCGGGCTAATAAGCAAAAGACCTTGCGGCTTTCGAAGAGATACAGATGAGAGTCCAACGATCACGTGCGCTTCAACGCTGTCAACATCTTTCTTTAACTGTTGGGCCGGCATATTGCCAGAATTGTTTTGTCGCTCAGTCGTACCATTCTCGCGCTGTGTCTGTACGACTGCGACTCTCCTGGATAGCCTGAATTGCGGTGACTTCTGCTCTTCTTAGTAAGAAGGAGACCATGCAGCGGTTCGAGCATGTCCAACCTCCCGGAGTCGCTTCATCTCACAGCGACAGTTCTGCATGACCTCACCTCCAAGTATCTATCGAACCGGTAGCTATCAAACAAGAGATAACAAGAATCGAATGGGAGATGGAGGTTACGTTGTGGCCAGGATTTAGGTTCCAAGAGCCTGTAGGCTCAGGCCACAGTCCAAAAATCATAAGCGAATGGAGGCTGTGAGTCCTGCAAGGGCCCGGTGCACTGCTGCCCGTTGCCCTGGGCAGGGATCATTACCTGCAGCATCCGGCAGTTCCACGGTTTGAGAGATCGGTAGCTGCTCCGAGCACCTGCCGGCTCCGCATCTTCCATCCGCGGCCGCCTGGTCAGATCTTGCATCACACGATCATGCGACATCGCATGAGATCCGCTGAGAAGCTAGCACGAGTGGCTGCACACTCCCCAGCTGCTCCACTTAGACAGGAGGCAGTCCGTGTCCTCCTACAGCCATCACGAAACTTCGACACTCGCTTCAAGTTGCACCGAGATCCATCTGGTAACATCAAACACCACGGAACTAGGAAGCAGGCAGATGATTCTTTGCAAGTAGTTGTCTCTCCTCAAGAACATCGTCCAAAGCGATGCGTGCAGTTGCAAGCTTCAGAGTCTAATGCTGCCAGGTGGCGAAGGCTGCCTTCACATGGCACACCACCGTTCTTGGGCTTGCTCAGAACCTGATGGCAAATATGGGCCAAGTTACAACAAATGGCATAGTGACTGAGAAAGCGAGGAGCAAAGTCGTTGCAAACTACTAGCAGCGCGTGCAAAACAGTTGGCCTGGCAATTTGGCGCCATCTCACGGGAAGGTCTGCAGCTAGGTCCTATTAGATATCTCCAACCCGGATTGGAGATTGCATCCCTCTCCACGTCCGTGATACACTATTCGTTCGGCGTGTATGGCAGGATGCGCACTCACTACCCGTCTTTGGGCTTTGTGTGAGCAATCCGACGATCGGATTTATTACAGGGTTTACATTTGATGATTTTTCTAGCCCGGGATTTGGCCGGGAAGAGGACTTTGAATTGCGCCTGGATTTCGTCTATATTAACGGGATCACATCTAAATGTTTTGTTTAGTGGGCCTAGGGGTTTAGGTTTGTAAAGGGAAAGATTTTTCAATCCTTCCTGAGCTACCCCTTTTACGAAGTCTGCTCGGCAGCACCCCGAACCAGATTCGTTAAAGGAACCACAATTATAGCAGGCTGTAGTCTTTGCTGATGCTTCCGTGTTTCTTCAAAGAAGCAATCTGCTTGAAACGGAGATGCTGTTATTTAATCATTATTCTTGATAGATTCCAAACAGACCGAATGAACAGAAAGCGATTTTCGAATTATTCTTGAAGAATCTGATCCTCGGATTAGGCAGATGGTTTTTGTGGTTTGAAGGCTCTTTCTCAAACAGATTGGTGTGTCATGCGGGGCTATTTTTGTTACGAAAAAACAACAACAAAAAAAAAACAACCAGCGCCGCCTGTCGCTCGCGGAACTTCTGCAGGGCTGCCACGTCGTTGCCGGCTTGTCCTGCCTGCAGTGAGCACTCTCAGAAACAGAGAGCATTGTCAGAATTTATCAAGACTGGCCAAACCTCTTCGCATCCTGACCAGCTGGACCACCTCGTGACTGTCGGCTGTCACGCCACATGGAGATGTGACCCAGCACGGCTCCAGGATGCCGCAAAGACACATGGAGAGCTTGCAGTTTTGCGCAATTTGGCAATCAGCTTCACAATGCTTCGTCTCTTGCCTCGGCAGTCAATATCGCCACGGCCCCTTGCCGGCTCACACCTCCGAAGCGACCCCTAGAGGCCCTCTCGGCAATCCCGGACCAATGGCACAAACCTGTTCATGTAAGGTACGAAAGCACTTGCACATCAACCAGAATTCCTTCAACCGCGACCCACATCCACACAGGATAATTTATGACGACGAACACACAGGGTTGGGGACAACCCGAAAATGTCCTACAGCATTTCCTGATGAAGCTGCCCAGTCCATCGAAGAGACGCCACATACGATGAAAGCCACATGAATGGATTGTTCAGATCATGATTGCAAGGCAACCTGCCCATGTTGTCATACTATAAAATCAAATGACTACAACCATCATTCTGCAATTGAGCTACAGTGCTCCCATGCACGGAGTGCCACATTCGTTGTTCATTGCCTTGCATGGCACCCGAGCAGTTGACAGTGTGCTCACCCCAGTGCACCCATTGACTTCTCGGGCAAACATGGACCAACAAGAGCCACGCCAACACAGTCCGGTGCCGTTCACATAAGCCAACCTCAATGTCATGTGGCTGCATCCACTGGACTTCCGGCCCTTTGTAATCCTCGGAGCATGCCGAGGACGGCTCGCAACTTGGCTGGTTCCACTCGCTCCAGGATCCAAACTCGCAGTTCCTGGATTTGCTGCACAGAACTGGAGAAACAACTCAGAAACAAAGTTGAAATGTTCTGCAAAGGCTTGCACCTCGGCTGACACTTCGGCTGACACTCTGGCGACGGAGGACATGCACTGACCTCAAGATTCCCAACATGCCGAGCAAGTTGTCACACCACAGGTCTAAAGTGACTCAAACGCAACCGACAATGTGAGAAAACTTGATTGAAGCATGTCCGCTTTGCTGCTGGCATTGAGCTGTGTTGCAGAACAGCTTGAAGTCGCCAGACCCTGTGCACTGTTCCACACTGCACGCTCCATGCCTTAATCGACATCATGCACTCGCCTTGAAGAAGAACTCGGACCCTGGTGCATCAACAAGCGCCATCACTCGATTCCTGCAAGCCGGAGACTGCATTCAACGCACTGCATTGTGCTTCGAAGTTTGCCGACTGATGGATCTGGGGCCGTTCCCACACTCGAGCCGCGCTGCTCTTTCCAGCTCTGACCAGGGACTGCAAGCTCCCTGGACCTTCGGCTCTGAAGGAGATTGGGAGTGGAAGTCTTCCCCAACGACCACGCGGCCCTGGCTGCAGGCCGCACCCCGGGCAGGTTGCACTGCGGGTTGCTTGACGCGAGTGAGATGACGATGCGGGATGCAGATCACGCAAAATCTGGGCCATGTGACCTGGGGTGCCGGATGCAGGCTGTGGCAACGCGCTAGCTTTAACAAACCGTGTAGACCGAAAGCCCTGAAAGAGAATCACGAAATGCAGATAGCAAACCTCTTTAACGAAAATGAGGGGTGACCCTCCAACCATGAAGCCAAGGATGCACCGCAGACACGAAGTAAAGCACAGGGCCATAGGCCTTACAAGGAAACACAAGATTGCAGAATCCTAAACCTTAAACCGAAACGATGATGACAAACCCTAAATACTCACGGCATGTGACGGATTGCATATGCCCAAAAGCAATTTCAAACGGCAAACAGAACAATCACCCCTGAAATTCAATGACGGACCCTAAGCCCTAAACAGACTTGAGAACAAGCCCTAAACCCTAGTGGCAAAGTATGGATGCAAAGCTGTCAACCCTGAAAACACACGATGGATGGCAAACCCTAGACTCTGAAAAGAAATAATGACGACAATCCCTAAAGCCTGAGAAAAGTGATGGATGGCGAATCAATCATGAATGACAGATTTCAAGCCGGCAATGCCTGAAAGTACATGATGAACGGCAAACCCTAGAGTGCCCAAGACCCTGAAAAGAATTGATGATGACGAACCCTAAACCCTAACAGAAAATTGTGGATGCAAAACCCTGAAAGATACATATTGCATGGCAAACGCTTGACCGTGAAAGAAGCAATGATGATAAACCCTAAACCCTAAGCAGAAAGATTGCGGATGGCAAACGGTCAACCCTGAAAAATGCCTGATAGATGACATAAACCCCGGATGCCCAAAAAAGATTAACGAATGACGGAGGGCAAGCCGGCAAACCCTGAAAGCAAACGATGAACAAGCAAGAACTGATGATGACAAACCCTAAAGTCTATCAGCCATCTACGGATGCAAAACTGTCAACCCTGGTTAACCCCAGAACGTGACGATGACCAAAAACCCTTAACCTTAAGGGGAAAAAAATTCGGACGGCGGACTGTCAACTCTGAGAGTCAAAGATGGATGGCAAGCCCTATGCCCTATATAAGGCCCGAAACGAGAAACGAGACGATAGTAAAAATACGGAGCAAACCGTATCCCCTGAATAGACTTGATGAAGAGCGCCTAATCATTATCCAACAATGCAGGACCCTGGGACGCCGATGCTGGATGGCGAGTCCTAACACCTAAAACGAATTGTGGATGGCAAAGTCAAATGATGGCAAACACTCGGAATCAAGCAATTTGACGCGATGATAGATGTCAAAATAGGGCAGGAAGGACAACAAGCCTTGAAGTCTGACAGTTGGTTGGCAAATACTGCACGCCCTTAACCATGAACGAGATGATGGGTGACACCCCCAATCCTTGAAAGGAGATGGTGGATGGCAAATCCTCGGACATGCGTCGTACGTCCAGTCGATGTGTACTTGTGGCCTTGGAGGTGGTCTCGAGCCAGTAGCATCAAGCATAGTCACAGTATCGAAGTTAACACGCAAGCATTCTTTTTTGATAGTCCATATCAGGCATATCATTCGGATTGCGCCAGCTCACCATTGCCAAGAGTGAACCCAATAGAACTTCACTTTACGGCTCATACAATGCGGTGACACTATTCGGTTCTTACGTCTCACGGTCTGTCGAGCCTCGCCGGCTCACGGCTCCTGTGGGGCGGATGTCTTTGAGGTAAAATCGCAGACATCGTCTCCCGCCACAATTCACAGAGTCCCGGGTCCGCCCGACGAAATCGTTCCTCCCACAGTGGCACGTGCTGGCGTGCGCATCATGACTCGTGTTGCTGCCACAGTTTGGTATGTGTTCTGCTGTGCCACTGGGATGGTTCTCGTGTGGGGATTGGACTGCTTGGTGCTCTTTCGCTGTTTGATGCATGTATTTTGATTCGGTCTGAAGGATTCGGTCTCAAGGAGATCAACTGCTTAATCTTGAAACATCTGGCGGAACATCGCGGACGAACCACCCAAGGTCCCTTTGCTCGCAACCGTGCCCCCGACTGCAACAAGAAGGAACCGGTGAGCATCAAAGATCATCCTGTGTTCTTGCAAGATTCGCGCAACAGGCCACTAATGCTGGCAAGCTCCATCTACGAAGTGTTTTCAAAAAGCCTTTGCCACGTGGGTGAGACATCCCACCCATCTTCCTCAAAAATACGTGTGTTGGAAGAGACACAAAAGTGTCCAACGGCAAGAGAGCCACAGATAATGGGACGGGTGACACACTCCCGCACCAGCCCACAACTCCCATAACCCTGAAGTGACTGCAAGCAAAGGAGTGATGGGCCGTGGCCATGGGTGGCAAACACATGACCCTGAAAGGAGTCACAAGGAAGTTCGATCTGGTGTGCACTCGATGCGCTCTCCCTCCATGTGGCCTTCAAACAAGCTTAACTTACACGAAGAGCAGCCTTAGCAAATCCAATCAGATGTCCTGACAACAGCGGAGGCTCCGCATCCTGTATTACAAGAGCTTGTACTGGTCCATGACGACCATGCCTCATCGCATCTTGGGCTGTGTCACAAGTCATGGCGAAATCCATGTCAATAGAAGCTTTGATCGCTGCACAATACTTGGTCGTTTCGCAATGGCTGCTGCAAGCGGACACTTCTCGCGCACCTTGGATACTTGGACTTTGACAGCTAGCTTGAACATATGATTGCGGGAGTCGTTCAAGCAAAGGCTCTGCGCGGATGACACACTTTCCCGCACTCGTTGGGCATCTTCATGATGGCACGATGGCGGAAGCGCTGGCCCCCACACCTCGCACGCAGACACTTACACAGCCGCTGCAGGCACTGAATCTGGCGAGTCTCGTGAGGCCTCGAACAGTCGCCCCAGTCGGACCACGCACCCCATTGGCAGTCCAGGCCTCAGAGACGAACATGAAACGATCGCTACTAGTAGTGAGTGAGTGAGCGAGCGAGCGAGTATCGACACATTGGCGACACCTCCAGCGCGAAGGCTTGAAGTGTCAGCGCACCAACACAACGCATCGACAAACTACAACAGCGCAAAACACAACGAGACGCGATGACGAACGAAAGGGCCCCAATTAGGTGGCAGGGCGTGTTTGGACCACTAGGCAGGCCCGCCACCTACTGCTCAGCGACCCGCCAGTATGAAGGCAAGACAGCTTGCCATCTTCGCGAGAGCTTCGTTTTAGTGCAGCTCCTTCAAACCCATGTCACCTCCGGCTAGGGCAGTGCGCCAGTCGAGTGCCTGTAACGGAAAACGGCACCGAACCCTCCCTTCAACTCCAGCTTGCCACGTCTGTGGAAACGGTTGCAGCTGTGCCATTCTGCGCACAAGTGCACTACAAAGCAATGTCGGCTAGGTTCGAACTAGGTTCAGTGAGTATTGGTGACATGGCAGGGAGATCTAGCTTCATGCTACGTAAGACTTGTTGATTGGTACTCAACCTTGCACTGAATTACGTGCTATACATTGTGATTGTGGCTCAATGTGACAATGTGTACTGAAGATATACTAAAAGTTGAGCTGGTGATAAATACGTGGGGACACAATGCCCAAATTGAGGAAGTTTGAATGTCAATTGGTCAAGCATCAACTAATAACTAATAACTAAATAACATGTTACATAGGTGCTGATATTACATACTCCGCAGAATACTTAACGGTTGAGTACTCTTTGGGTATCTGTATATGTATACGCTGGTTGAGAAACAGTACATGAACAAGTTGAACATGCATGTATTTGTGATTAAACTACGCAAAACACCTAAAAGCTCAAATAGACGCATCGCTTTTTGTGGATTCTTGCAACATAACGGCAAGGAAAACACACTTGCATGAAAACTGGACATTTTGAATGTAGAACCATGCTGCAGTGTCTAAATTTCTTGAGCAAAGAAACCGAAAGCTTGTCTCAACAGCATTTTGGAGCAAGGTTCACTGCGCGTAAGCAGCCCAGCGCGGGAAACCAGCGACATGGGTGCAGGTGCAATGAAACCCCAAAACCAACAAAGACACAAAAATCTGGGAGACTGGTCTCCTTGTAGCTTTTGGTTCGTCTTGTTCTGTGTTGTTGCCTCCCCCGGTTTGTTTGGTGACTTTGTTTTCTCTGCTTTGTGTGGGTGTCTTTGGTTTCTTTTGTCCACTCCTTTTTCATGTGACGGGACGTTTTGGGATCTGGTATAAGATGTATTAGAAGTATCTGTCGTCAATGGCTATCACTGCTGTAGATCCTTCACAAATACTGCATTACACACCCCACAACAGTCTTTCTGTTTAGTGATGCACTTCGGAAGCCCGCAACATCCCGCAACTTTCAACGACATCTCCACGAAACCGAGGGCCGTGCAAACCACGGGCCTGGGTTTCGCCGAATGTGGAGAATGCGAGCTTCGCGCATGCTTACGGCGTGGTGAAGCGAGGTGGCGCATTTTCCGAGGCGAGCACTGGCAGAGCTGCGTGTTGCAAGGCGCGGTGACGCTCAGCGAATTGTCACACGCCTGTGAATTGAGGACTCATCAAACGACCATCACCTACAGCGAGGCAAACGCACACCTTCCCTCCCTTGGCCGGTTCTCGTTGAACCTCACGCCTTCGCTCCTGTCACGTGTGAAGTGCCCTGCGAACTCTCACTGCGTGAAACAACACGCAGCGAAGGCAGACCTTCTGGCCGCCGCCACAGCTCAAGCTGCACTTTGACCACTCACTCCATTCGCTGAGTTGACAATCCTGGATGGAAGGAAATACAGAGCATGCGCCACATGTGCCACGAAGCGGCGAATCAAAGAGCTGCCCACCTGCGGCAGCGGTTCGCCGCAAGCCTGCGATGCCTGGCTCATGCACTTCGTCTTTTCTGTCTTACGACTCTGTGGCCTGGCAGGGGCGTGCTGTACCTTGTTCCGGTGCTCCTTCAAGGAGGCTGTGAACCCTGTCAAACGTTGCAGGTCGCTTTGGACCGACCCGAGGCCCTCGTAGACAGACATGGGACTCCGATTATCTGGCGTACCATAGGCTGTACTTGACGACGCACTGCGTGAACCTGGTGACGATGCCATGTTGCGCGATACGTGTCCAAGACCGTGCTGGCCGCAGAAGCAGGAGCCTTCCATGAGCTCACATGAGTGGGCAATCCTTCATCTTCTTTGACGGAGCCAGCTCCCAGGCAGTATCGAAGCTGTGAAGGACGGCGGCCGTCTCGCCTCGAAAAGACAGTGAGCAGCACAAAACATCCTACCCGTAGCGGTCTTGCGGGAGCATGAAGGCAGGGCACAACGTTTCGGTCCCAGGTGAAGCAGTGATTTCAGTAGCCAGGACAAGGTCAAGGAATGAGAAAGTAGCCTGCTTTCAGCGTCTTTTCGGCCAAACCGGGCCTTCAGCCTGATGTTCTTCACATAAAGAACCCTTCTCTAACACCAGGAACCAACGGAACAGACCGAAAATTGACTATTTCAGCGAGGGAGCCTTCGAGCCACAACTTGACACGGAACTGCAGCTCACCACGACCAGGAAAATCAAGCAGCTGCATCCGGAAATGGCGGCAGTCGCAGCGGCCAGCCACTCTGTCGAGATGCTCTTGGAAAGAAGTGTGCAAGGCATCACAAGTCGACGTTTGCAGCAACTGAACCAATGGTGATGAAGCATTCCCTCTGCTCCTAGATGAAGTGTAATCTGCGATGAAAGAGAGCTGCACACGTCTAGCATCCCCGTCAGGTCTGCACCACTTTACGTCCTTGACCTTCGGTTGCCAAACACCCCCGTCATGGCAAAAGGTCGCCAAGGTCTGGAGATCAGACATGCTCGCGCGGAAGGCAGGACCGAAACCTTGTGGATGGAGCTCCGCCGCAGTTGGCCTTGTGTCCTTTCTTGTTGCCGAGCCTGTCGAGACCTTCCTGCTGTCTCGTGCACCTCCATTCGGAGCGTTCGGAGCTCGGCTCCAGGCTGCGGCATCGGCAAAACCGCCAGTGAAACCGTTCTGCCTTGGGTGGCCGTAGCCTGGCCTTGTACCGGTATGTGGCTGTCTGGCATATCCTTGAGGATGTCCGTGATGCCCATGAGCATGGGAAGCGGCGTGATGTGCGTCCCGTCTAGGACCTGCAGCATGTTCGGCCTGCGATGCCTGTTGCACCAACGTGGCGTCATAAGCTTGCCGCTTCTGTTCATCACACAGAACCTCATATGCATCGGCTGCTTCTTGAAAGCGACGCCGAGCATCTGGTGAGCTACCAGCTTTGTCTGGATGCCACTTCAAAGCAGCAGCACGGAATGCCTTCCGGATATCGGCACAGCTGCAGTGATGATCTAGCCCAAGGACAGCGTAATGGTCCAGAATGCCCTCGAATTCTGCTGTCATTACGAAGCGGCTTCATTACAGCCTGATGCTCGAAAGGCTGCGAACAACTACACACCAAGGCGCCGGATCTATTGACGGTCATGTTGTTGCGCACAGTTTTTACAGTCACACTTAAACAGCGGGTATGCCTAAATTCGCCGTGCTTGAACTCGGGTTTGTGACACTACGCTGGCTGGACTCGATTGCAGCTGCAAGAACTAGGCCTAAAATTGAAAAGAGCCTCGGTTTCGGAGGCCTGGGTGGAAGGTGGGTGTTCCCAGGGGGGGCCCGGAGTGCTTGAGACGGTGCCGTGCGCTTGAAGTTCTACTGCCTGGCCCCCTTGGCATTCTTTGCGATTGAAGGCAGGTACTTTTTGTTGTTTGCTTCCACTGGAGATGAATCTGCCCTCGACCAAAGCCATGTCCAAGAAGACAAATAGACCCAAACCAGGCTCGCAGCACGGGATCATCATCGTCGTCGTTGCAGGCTTCTATAACCTTCAGCGCAAGCCCATCACATGGCCTGGGTGCTCAAGCAAAGTTCGATGCTTGAGCAGTCTCTGATCGCTACATGATGTTGCTAGGGGCGCGGCTTTCCATTCCCTGAGGCAAAGTCTTTGATGTTGCGGGTTCGTTCCCGGATTCCAAAGCAAGAACCTTGGCCAAGTGCTTCTCCTACACGAGGAGAAGCACGTCGCATCACTGCGAGATCCCTAGGCTTGCAGCAGCTGCACTTTGACCAGCTGGCCCACATCGTAAGTTGGCAATCCCGGTCACTGACCTCGGAAGTTACAATCAGTTACAACTCGGGGTACACGAGTTCCATTCACCGTCGCGGGAAATTTTCACTGGGTATCCGACACAAGGCTGTGCAGCGGTGCAGCTTTCGAACTGCTCACGAAGGCCACCAACTGGCAGCCCACAATGGTTGGCCTCGACCTACACGAGCCGGCTCAGACGAGACGTGGCAGCAGCGCAGAACTTGTGACAAGGGCCTCAATCTGACGAGAACGTGAGCGATAGCCCATAGAGCATGATGCAGAGCACTTGGACCACTCCTGGAACTGTGCAAGATTTTCCAGACAGTGTGACACACTCACACTCCCGACCCACTCCTGCCAGGGTGCCCAAACTGCATCAACCTCGGAAAAAAACTCGAAAGTAGCCTGGTGGGATGCTGTACACAATTATCGTGGCTAGGTTCCCAACACAGCCTCGATCACAAAGATGGGTGTTGCAAGGCGAGATCTGCAACCAATACGCTGCATGCAACCCTCAGATTGCACGTCACAATTGAATCTTTGCACCTCGCTTTTGACTTCTGGCGGGCAAAGCTTACCGCCATGTCGAGGGGACACAGCGATAACACGGTTGCCTGCATGTGCCATGCACCTCCTCACCCTCACTGGCTCCACCGTCAGCACTCCACTTGTACTTTCGGGCATCGAACACGATGAAGCATGCTGGGAGTGCGCTTTTTCACACCTCCCCCGCAGGTGCAGGAGCCTGGCATGTTCTCGGGCGGCAACTTCTTCCCACAAGCACGTCTCGGTCTGGGACACCGGCAGTCCGACCACTCGTCCCAGTCACTCCATCGGCAGTCCTGCTGATGGCATTGTGAGTCCTGCATGGAGGCCAGTATGCGCGCGATGTGATCAGAGCGGTCGATTTGCAAAACAGGAAGAGGCATCCATGCACGAGGCCTCGCAAGGGAAGAGCTCGGACATCGGCCCTTCACACCCTTTTCCTCTACTCGTAGCAGGCCGCATCCTTGAGGAATCCAGGAAGGATCACGCCACACAAGAATCCACAGCAGCACCCTCGGGCCCCGACACCCTGCGCACCCGATGTTTTTGGCCTTTTCCGCACTGGGCTGAACAGGCAGTCCAATCCTTAGCAACGACGACATCCCAAGTTCAGGGTGAAGAGCTGCTGCAAACATCTGCGAGGCACAGGCATCCCACTCACCCAGGATGCAGTCGTGCTCCTGACTTTAGCACGAAGTTCACTCGATACTATGTCTGCCGAACAGTCCCAAAAATACAAAATCATTCGAACAAAGAGCGGAGCTTGCAGTGATTCTGTCCTTCGGGTTATAGCATGGTGCCGTGTTGCACTGGATGCTCTCCTTCATTACATACGCCGTACACAGTTACGCAGCGTGCGGGATGTGCCAGGCCCTGCCTTCATCACACTTGCTGGACAAAAGCCCTTGGCGCTGCTGGGCTGGTTCAGCTGGCGCTCACGGTATGACTGACCTGATAGAAAGGCGAAAGAGAAGACATCCAGGATGCCATGCATCCGAACAGCTTAGACATTGACCACCGTCGCACGTTTTGTCGCAAGACGTCCATGGCGTCCATTCCTTTGCATTCCGGAGGTCGAAAGATGCTTCAAGTCATACTGGATCTGGGTAGCGGTCTGTTAGGGAGCAGTTCTGTGGTGGTGCAGCAGGACACCCGGCCGTCACCACCAACTCTGTGGGACAGACAAGGCCTCCTCCGGCTGGCATTTGCTGAACCTTGGATGGAAAGATATGGAAAGCCTGGCTTCCAGCCACTGCCACTGCCCCCACTGCCACTGCCTCCGCTTCATCGCTCCTAAGGACTCTAAGGTCAAGACTGCTCGTCTCCGAAGGCGTTGCATTTGTCCCTCCTGCTGCAGACTACAACAGAAATACGCCTCTCCAAGCTAGAGACCGTTTCCTCTGCGCAGTCGCTCCACGATGACCTGAATTCGAAACTGCACTCCAAAATCGGCAGAACAGGCATTCAAAGTGACCCCACTACCTTAATTCGATCCAAAGGAATCCTCCACATTTTATTTCTTTCCTTCACAGGCATCGGCCATTCGGTGACGCGACAGTCGCTGCGACCACAGGGAGGCAGAGAACAGGGCACCGTCTGGCAGTGGCAGACAAGCAGTGATAAGCACCTCCTATTCTGCTTGAGGCGTTTGAATGCTGGGAGGCCTCTAACAACACCCCCACACAAATCTCGCCACCATGCAGCGCCTCCTGCAGCAAGTTGGTGATTATCGAAACCTCTTGTCCACAAATGATCCACGGACGTGCACGTCCTGATCAATCCTCCGCAGCCGGGTATGACGGCCTTCCCCACAAGTAGAGCTGCAAGTGGTCCATTCCTTCGAAGAAGCGATGGTACCGCTTGGAGGCTCCGAGAGGCTCCGAGAGGCTCCGAGAGGCTCCGAGGCTCCCACCCGCCATGGGCTGAACTGGCATGCGGTTGGCTGCTTGCTCGCTCCACAGGGCCTGCCAATTGGGCCGGGCCCTTTTTTTTTCGGTCCCCCTGTGTGCTCACGGAGTGCACGGGCCTTGTTAGCTTGGTAGGACCCTCACACGGTCTACCTGTGCAAGAGAGTAACTCTGCCCAGGCATTGCAAGCTGAAGGCCCAGGCAGACGATGGCAGACGATGGCACACGCACATGCAAACTTAAGGACATCTCGACACCTAGGCTTGCACGAAAGACCTTCGGGCTCTAAGCAGGCAATGAAATTTCGCAGATTAAATCAAAGCCTGTGTCAGTTGGCTGCTGGACGATGGATCTTGATCTTACCGACTGGTCCGCCGAGCTGTGGCAAAGAGTCCATTCCGACCTTGTTGGGCTTCGCTGGACTTGACGAAATTGCCGACGAACACCAGAGTCTTCGAGCACCCGACCATACACCAAACATGCAGTCGGTGACCTGCAGAGCAATGACACGACAAATGCTATCTGCGGAGTCCACTTCTTCCCTGTGCATTCACCAAAGTGCTGTTTGCGCGGTCGTTCGATGTCTAAGTCGTGCCTGGCCTTCTTGACGCACTTGTCTTGGACGAAGGATTGCGACTCCAGCAAGGCTCCACTGCACGGCTCGCCACACCTGACAGCTCCGATCAAATGCAGGTCCGACATGGCTGACAAGGGCTTGAAATCACATGCCAGTAAGACTCGTTGTTGGAGGTTGCTTTCGACCTTTCCCGGAACTTCAAGCCAATACCTTGGGTGTGCCAGGATTCACTCGGCAGGCCCAGGAACTGATGAATCCTTCACTTCTCGGAATTTCACGAAACAGTTTCGACGCAGGTAGGCCAGGGACATCCGCCCGCATCATACCAGGAATTCCACGGAGAGAAAACGCAGTCTTGTGGCCGACATACCGAGCAAGCCTTGCAACAGGCAGAACTCCATGCTCATGCGAATCTCGATAGGAATTGGGCTGTCGACTGGCAGTTCCTCACACCCGCCCACCTCGCAAGACACCGTGCCATGCAGCTATGGATGGATGCAAAAGCATCTGTCGTGCAAAAGCCAACGCCGAATGCAGGTCATGAACCCTCGTCACCACTGGGCTTCAAACCTCTTCATCGTATCCTTGACAAGAATGGTGCGCGAGTCGTCGAACGGGAGCCTTGGATCAAAGCAATGCAGAACTGGTGCAACTGCTGTATACAACACCGCATGGCTCGGGGCAGAACTGCACTCTCTAAGGCCTGGAAGTTCACTGCCGAGAGCAGCGGGATCAGGCTTCGAGCCAGCATTTCCCAGACATGCTCTTCCCGTCCCGAGTGCCAGCCAGCTTTGAGCCCGTTCGGCTGCACAGCACTAGCAATCCACACGCGTTTGAACACTCCAGCAGAGCTGATCCGGCACAAACTACAGAACAGCACAGTTTAGCTTTTTTCAGTCCAGCTTCCATGGATTGCTTTGCATATCCGCCTCATCCTTGTGTTGCAGGCTGCTGACGGAAACAATGGAATGCTCCGGCTCCGAGCTCTAGAAGCCGTAGAAGTCGAAGTCCCGATCCTTCTTCTTCGCGTGGTCCTTCCAACCTGCTTCAAAGTCCTTCGGCAGGATGACGTAACGATTGTGGCGAACAGCCTGCATCCCCGCCTCCTGACAAATGGCTGCAATATCAGCGCAGCTGATTTTCTCCGGCCTTGAGACGTAGTCTTCCAAGTCGACCTCCTCGCTCAAGTTCATCTTCGCTGTGATCGTTTGAAAGATCAAACGCTTCTGACGCCTGTCTGGTAACGGGAACTCGATCTTCCGGTCCAAACGCCCTGGCCGCAAGAGCGCGGGGTCCAGCGTGTCTGCGCGGTTCGTGGCCATAATGACTTTCACGGTCGTGTCCTGGTCGAAACCATCCATCTGGTTCAAAAGCTCAAGCAAGATACGCTGGACCTCACGATCGGCGCCTGTTTGTGAATCGAAACGCTTGGTGCCGATAGCATCTATCTCATCGATGAAAACAATGGAGGGCGCATTCTCACGTGCTAGGCGGAACACATCTCGAACCATGCGAGGGCCTTCACCCAGGTATTTCTGAACAAATTCGGAACCAACCATGCGGATGAATGTGGCTGTAGTTTGGTTTGCCACTGCTTTTGCAAGCATCGTCTTGCCGGTGCCTGGCGGACCATACAAGAGCACACCACTGGGAGGGTCGATCCCGATTTGAGCATAAAGCTCCTTGTGGGTCAATGGCAGCTCCACAGCCTCTTTGATTTCCTGCTTCTGGATATCCATGCCGCCAATGTCTGCATATGTGACATCAGGCTTCTCTGACATAGCCATGCTCTGGACAGTGCTATCGGCTTCCGGTGGCAAAATGTCAACCACAGCATGCGAATGCCGGTGCAAAGCCACTGAGCTGCTCGGCTTCAGCAGCTCCCGGTTGAGCGTGCTCAAAATGCGGACATAGTAATTGGAGCCCGCAGTTGAAGAGACTATGCCGTGGCTTTGGTCAATCATTTCCGAGAACTGACCTATGACCAAGGGAACAGACTGGACACGCTTGATCTCCACCTGTGCACGGATCATCTCGCGCTTGAGATTCTTCATCTCATCTTTGATGTACTCCTCCTGGATGTCAAGGAACTCCATCTGGCGTTTCAACTCTTTCAGGCGCATGTACAAATCATCCTCGGCTTTGGATGTCAAGTCCGTTTGCTGCACCATTGCAGCCGTCAGCTTGCACCTACACCAACGGCAGTCCCTTCCGAATTGGTCTTTTTTGCTCCGAGCCCATCTTCACAATCGAATTCGTGAACATGCACGGATGCAAAATAGACGAATCTAGGGTTGCCAGTGACAATTTGCCACGAAAATGAAAAAATGATTCACGCATGTAACGGCTGTAGCCTGTGCGCAATTCAGTGAAAAAGGTATGTCAGGCATGCATTTCTCCGAACTGCAAAATGGACGCTCATGTCCTCGACACTTCAAAACTGCATCCTGGAAACCGTAAACAATCACGTATCAGTCAGGATCTTTTTTCATTCCAACATTGGCAATCATTCCCACACATTCAGCTACATGCATGCTGAAGTTGTAAACTTGCAAGTCATTCGAAAAACATGCTGTGCAGACGCACGTGAACTGCCCAGTTATCACACAACACGTTGTCCAATCGTAAACGGTTATAAAGCTGAAAACCGCCGAATGTTTGCGAGTGTCTGGCTCGCGGATATTGCAAGATTGAGTGAACCAACACCAAACGACTACCACAGCGAGCTCCGCGGGCTTTGGAAAAGTGTCCAAGCATGGGGTGTCCCCAACGAATGCAACCCAACCATTAAACATGTTGCTCTGCTTTGAAACGCTGCAACCAAAGTGCCACCAGTGTATGACTGTGGACTATGGTAATTTGTTTAAACCGCGCTTCCGTTTTCTGTCGGGTTGGTTTTTGGGCGGGGTGCCGCGAGCACAGGCCCCTTGACCGGTGGCCGAGAAGTATCAGACGGGTCAGGGCAGCCGGTGTTCGGCCAGTTAGGTGAGTCGGCAGCAAGCCGGGCCAGAACTACTCAGAGAGCCCGCGGCAACCGCTACCCGGACGCGCAGCCGGAAATCTAGAGACACCTTGCCAGTTCTCTACGGGTGCGGAGGGTGGGTGAAAAGAATATATTCTTAAGGCTGCTGCCTTAGTAAGCACGTGTTTGTTTAGTTTGAGCCACAGCGTTGCGATGCAAGGCGCTGCGTTGCACTTGTGACAAACCAACGAAAACACTGCTGATTAAAGGGAATAACGCACAGCGAGCGTTTTCTAGGTTTTCATGATTTCTGCAACCGCTTAAGAAGAACAAGAAAGCAGGGTGCACATCCTTTTTTCGGCGAGAGATGCTGTGTTAGCGCGGAGCGAGGCGCGCTCGAAAGGAAACGAGGCAATGGGTGCCGGAGCGTTTTCCCCCCACTTTAGCGGACACAGCAACATCCCCACCGCGCGAGGTTGGGGTGTACCTGGCGGCTGGCGGGCGCAGTGCTGAAATACACAAGGGTGGAGTGCGAGCGCTGCAACAACGTGCTTCTTTTGAACGCAAAGGAAGCATTTCGGTTTGTGCGAGCAGTAATTTGCTAGGCCAGGAAGCATCGTTACCATGCAGCGAAACACTGGTGATACGGATGCAAGCTCGGCCAGAGTAATGCGTACTCTGTCTGCTTGGCGGCGCCCCATAAAGGCAACGCTGCCACGGCTGAGCTTAGCAGAACTGCATGCGCAAGTGAGCCCAGGTCGCTGCTAGGAGAAGAAAGGTGTCACTTGCCGAAGGCAGGAGAAAACGCAGGTGTTGGCTGCGCAATGCTTGCCAGACACATTGCGCTGAAGGCGCAGCCAATATAGGGCTGAAGACTGCCGGTGAGTTGCGGGCACTGTTGGCGCACCTCCTGTGCAGTGAATGATTGGCTGTACCAGAAATAGCGGATTGACGTCGTCAGCCAACCATTTCCGCTTTCGGGTTTAGGGTTACGGGGTTTAGGGTTTAGGGTTTGGGCTTCAGGGTTTCGGGTGAAGGGTTTAAGGTTTAGTGCTTAGGGTTTAGGGTGAAGGATTTAAGGTTTCGTGTTTAGGGTCTGGGGCCTAGGGTAAGGGTTCAGGTTTAGTGTCTCGGATAAGGGTTTAGGGTGTAAGGCTTAAGATAAGGGTTTAGGGTAACAAAGTTGACAAGAACCTAGCAAGCAACCAGGGTGCACATGTACGCAAGTCGGAAACAAATCACACTAAGATTCAAGTTTTGGGCCCATGACAGACTCTCGGGCATTTGAGACGAACCCTAAACCTTTGCAGACATCGACGATTTCTAGTATCGCTGCTTGTACAAAGATTCACGTTTTGGGTCCATGCCAGACTGCCTAAATCTGACTAAGTTCTCTTGGAGGTGTTTGTCTTGGCGGTGTTCGCATTTTCTTGCGAAACTCGTCCGTTCGTTGGGCACGGCGCGGCTGGCGAGCATTTTTGCTCTTTGGTCTCCGAGCGATGGGGTTCAAATCCAGCTGGCCTAGCACACCTTTGTAAAAGAACGCATGCTCGCTGCAACTGCTCTGCACGAAATGTGGACGCTCGTCCACCACTTCCCCTGTCTCCAAAACATACAAAGCTGTGAACCTATACATCAGCTTCTTGGGCTGCAATGTCAACAGTCTTGTTGTCCACTACCATGCGAGCAGACACGGCATGTTTCAAGAAGGTGTTGTCTTCTCCTGCCACAAAGTGATTTATCACACAGAACCAAGGGAATCAAGACATGTTAGAGTCAGCTAGAGTTAGTGACAGTTCAAGAGTCCTTGCGCCAAGCTTCGCAATGCAGAGGCAGTTTCACGAACCAAGTGACTGACATCCTGCTGCGCAAAACCCTTCTTGAACAAGCCCTTTAAAGGTGGTGCACCATGCCCGTTCTTGGGAGTTGGAAATGTACGCGCCATAGCCTGGGCAAACCTGGCTCAAACCACTTTGCCATTTCGCACTCCACCATGCGCCGGTTTTCTGTAGCACCCAGTCTCCAAATAAGTGCCAAGCTTCTCTGAGCAACTACTGTTGGTGCTGCGCTTGGTAAGAATGCAGCAAGTTTCAACTTGATTGTTTGAAACGAATACGTGTTCAAGGCAAGCATTAACTGGCTACACTTTGGAGTTCTCCGGCTGCAT